GGAAACCCAAGGAGGAGTCGCTATGAGTCAAATCTGACTCAACAGGAGTGAGAATGGCTAATGACTATGAGCATTTCTTCATGTATTTGTTGGGTGACTCAGTGTCTTCCTTGGTGAAGTGACTTTTTTGTTGCTGAGGTGTTGAAGTTTTCTGTACATTTTAGAGATTAGTCCTTTGTCAGATATGTGATTGCCAATATTTTTTTTCCCAGTCTGTAGATTCTCTTTTCACTCTTTTGGAGATTTTTTTTTTTTTTTTTTTTTTAATGCACAATGGTGTTTAATTTTTAGGAGCTCTCAACCTTTTAGTTTATCTTCTACTGTTTGTGAATTTTCAGTCATGTTTGCTAGACTATTTATGCCATATATTAGGGCCCCTAAGTTTTCCCATATTTATTCGTTGTTGATCTTTATAGTTTATGTGGAAGAATTTAGCTTCATTTCCTCTTGCTGAGCATTTTATTATTATTATCAGAAATTGGTGCTGGATTTTATCAAATGCCTTTTCTGCATTGATTGATATGATTATGTGGTTCTTTTCCTTTTTTTTTTTTTAATTTATGTGGTTGATTGGGTTGATTGGTTTTCTAATGTTGAACCATCCTTCCATGGCTGGTATGAATCCCACTTGGTCATGATTTTTTTTTTTTTTTTTAAATATGACATTGGATTCTATTGGCTAGGATTTTGTTGAGAAATTTTATATTATGTTCATGAGGGATATTGGTCTATAATTTTGTTTTTCAGTGGTATCTTTGCCTGGTTTTGGTATCAAGATTTTTCTCACTTCATAGAATGAATTCAGGGGTATTCCATCCTTTTCTATGTTCAGGAATAGTTTGAGTAGAATTGGCATCATCAGTTCTTCTCTGAATATTTGCTAGAATTCTCCAGTGAAGAAGAAGTCTGGGCCAGGACTTGTTGTTGTTGGGAGTTTTTTATTTTTTCATTTTTAATAATGACCTGTTAGTTTTTTTTTCTTTCATTATTGATCTGTTGAAATATTCTACCTCAGTCTGTGTTAGGTAAATATTTCTAGAAAATTTTCCATTTCTTCTAGGTTTTCAAATATGTTGGAGCACAGTTCTTCATGATATTCTATTATTATCCTTCTAGTTCTGTTGTAATGTCACCATTTCATTTCTTATTCACGTTATTTGCGTCTTCTCCTTCTTTTCCTTTGTTAAATTGGCCAGTAGTTTGTTGACTTTATTATTAATACTTTCAAAGAACCAACTTCTAGTTGTTGATTTCTCCTTTTTTTTTTTTTGATTCTTCCTATTGTTTTTATGCTGTGTTCTTGAATCTATTATTTTCTTTCTTCTGGTGATTATAGGCTATTTTTCTAATTGTTGGAGCTGTTGGATTAAGGAGTTGATTTTGATGATTTTTTTTATTTTTTAATGTGTGCACTTATTGCTATAAATTTATGTCTGAGTCTCTCTCCTGGGCAGCAGACTAACATATCTAATTGTTTCCACTTAGATATACAAAAGGTCCAAAACTCAACTCCTTATCTCCTTCAAAATTTTTCCATCCACAGTCTTTCTTATGTCAGTTGATAGAAACTCCATCCTTCCAAATTCCCAGGCAAAAAGCTTAGAATAATCTTCAACAGTTCTTTCATAATCCTTTGTCCAGTTTGTCAGCATATCCCATGGGCTCTAACTTCTATCTGAGTTGGTTATTTTCTCACCTTTATTCTGGTAACACCCTTGTTCACTCTACCATCATCTGTCCTGACTAATGGAGCTCCTTGCTACTCACTTGGGCCTGCTGTAGACTAGTTTCAATCAAGACAGCAGAGTGATCCTTTTAGAATATAAATTTAATGATGTTACCACTTTGGTTAACCTTCCCTCTACCCCCTGGAGTGGGTCTGTATTTTCCTTAGAGTAAGAACCAAGGTTCATTCCATCACCTGGGCACCACTTGCTGTTTAGTTAATTCTGACTTATGGTGACCCTGTTGTGCACAGTGGGATTTTTAAGACTGTGACCATAGTAGGGTTTTCAAGATGTGACCTTTTGGAAGCATTTTGCCAGGCCTTTCTTCTGAGGTGCCTCTGGATGGGTTTGAACTGCTAACCTTTTGTTTAGTAGCTGAGTGTTTAACCTATTGTGCCACCTAGGTCCCATAAGGCCTTAAATGATGTGACTTTCTGAATTCTCTGTCTTTATTTCAAATATTGGCCATGTTGGTCACCCCCTACAGATATTCTTCCCCTCTTGGTTTCCCTGTAGCACACCTGAGCACTTGACTTTGAATTCAGTGTTTCCTTGACTTCAAGGTCATTACCCAGATATGCTTATAGTTTACTCTCAGTTCCTTTATATCTCTCTCCAAAAGTCATTCCTATTTAATACTACAAATACCCTTTCCTTGCTCTGCATTTAGTTGATTCTGACTTATGCTATAAATTTATGTCTGAGCCTGCTTTTGCTGTGTCCCAAAAGTTTTGATATATTGTGCTTTCATTCCCATTTGATTCTAGGATTCTTTTAATTATAGATATATGTGTGTGTGTGTATGTACGTATGTATGTGTATCCTATCCTATTCTTTATCCTACAGTGCTTTTTCATTTTTAAAAAATCAATATAATTTACCTAATAGTGTGTTCATTATTTCTTTGTCATTGCTGCTTAAATGTAAGCTCCGTGAGGATGGGTTTTTGTAAATTCCGTGGTGGAATTTGCCATGAGCAACTGAGTAGTTCCTGATTGTTAAGGTTATCCACCTGGGGTATTTCTGTTGGGAGTGGCATGAAGCAATCTTTTGGGAAGTTCTCTCTCTCTCAGGTGTATAGAATTCTGATGTTGGGATTGATTAGTTTGGCCACTCTGCCAGGCTCAAAAGGAGCCCTCCTAGAGCCAGAAGGAATCTCTCACTGCAGCTGAGAGACACATTGCTGAGAGAAATGCATTTACTGAGAGAGAGATGCAAGAGGCACGTGCTGCTGAAAGAGAGACATGAGAGACATGGGCTGCTGAGAGAGAGAGAGACTGCTGGCTGCTAAGTGAGACAGTCGGTCATGAGAGACTGAGTGCATTTCTGAACTTGAATTGTAGCCTCTTGCTTCCCTAATAAACCCCACAATCTGTGAGTTCTGTGTGGGCACTGCAGCGAATTATCAAACCCAGCAGAGAATTGGTGGGTGCTGCAGGAGGAATAGTTGGTATCAGGGTTGGTGAAAGGGCTGGAAGGAAGCAGCATGTCTGGCCTCACAGGAATAGGCCTTGGATAGTGATCCTGTCTTCCTCTTGTGGGGTTAGAGGAGGTCAGAAGATGTGGCCTCCTTGCCCCTTTGGCAATGGGTATCTTTGTTTGTTTGCTCATCAATGTTGTCTAGCATCTAGGATATTGCTGGATGGGTAAACACTTAATTAATACTTGTTTAAATGAATTGTAGCTGAGGGAGTGAAGTATGTACTGCATACATTAATAGAGCATTCTTATTTTATTTTAGATGGAGAGAAGTTTCGAGATGAATGTTTCCAGCGCTGTAATTGCATTCGTCGGAATTATTTTGCTCTCCGTAAATTTAGCATTTAATAACCAGGCATTCAAGAATTGTCAGTATTCACAGTCATCAGACTTATGCACTCTCATGGGAGCCTCATCAACAGTATGTTTTTGAAAATGATCTTTAATTATAATATAATTAAAATATTCCAAAATATACACAATATATTAGGTCTTATATTGCTTATAGGAGCTCTGGTGGTGCAATGCCTAAGTCATTTCTCTGCTAACCAGAAAGCTGGAGGTTCACACTCACCAACCACTCCACAGGAGGAAGACTGGGCTATCTATTCCCATAAAGATGTATCACCTTAGAAACACAATGGGGGTCACTATGAGTCGGAATAGACTTCATGGCAGTGGGTTTTTTATGTTGCTTTGGACACATCATCAGGAGATACCAATCACAGAGGGACATCATGCTTGATAAAGTAGAATGGTTGCCATTGAGTCAATTCTGACTCATAGCGACCTTATAGGACAGAATAAGATCACTTTATAGGGTTTCCTAGGTACTAGTCTTGGCTGCTAACCAAAAGGTCAGTGGTTCAAACCCACCAACTGCTCCTCAGGAGGAAGACGAGACAATCTACTTCCATAAAGATTTACAACCTTGGAAACCCAATGGGGGTTGCCATGAGTTGGACTTGACTCGATGGCAATGGGTTTGGGCTTGGTTGGTTTAATCTTTATGGAACCAGACAGCTGCATCTTTCTCCCGTGGCTGGTGGGATCAAGCCACCAGGGCTCCTTTTAGTAAATAGAAGGCCAATGAAAAAAGAAGGAGACCCTTAGTGGTGGATTGACACAGTGGCTGCAGCAGTGTGCCCCAACAGTAATGATTGTGAGGATGGCAGAGGTCGGACAATGTTTTGTTCTCTTGTAGAAAGGTTGCCATGAGTTGGAGCCAACTAGATGGCATCTAAGAACAATGCAGCCTTGATCTGAACCTTGGCTCTGCCACTTACTGGCTCTGGGATCATGGACAAATCAGATAATCTTTTTGTGTTTTAATTTTCTCATCTCTGAAATGAGAATAATAATGTACCTATCTCATAGGATTGGTATAAGGATTGTTGTTGATGTTGTCAAGTTGATATGGACTCCTAGTGATCCCATGTTCAACAGAACAAAACACTGCCCAGTCCTGCACACATATAAACCCAAAAAACTAAATCCACTATCATGAAGTTGATTCCAACTCATAGTGACCCCTACTGGGTTTCTAAGGAAGTAAATCTTTGTGGAAGTAGATTGCCCTATCTTCCTTCCATGGAACATACATATATATATAAAGATTAAATGAGTGAATGTTTAATAAGCAATTAAAATAGCTTAGCACATCGTGTTATTATTATTGTTATTATTATACTCCCCAGGAAGATTATGCTTTTCTTCCCCCATTTTACTTCGCATTTCCTTGCTTAATATAACTTGGGAGATATATAAATTTCTGTGTGTCCTGGAATTGTCACATAACTCATCGACATTTTGAATGACTTTACTTTTGAACTTATTTGAGTAGGGTCATTTTAACGGGAAGTTCTTTAATAACCTCCCCAAATTATTATTTCTTTGTTTGGGTCTATGTATTCTACCTCTTCTGGGGTCAATTCAGAAATTTATATTTTCCTTCACATTTACTCATTTCATTCATTTTAAGCTATGAACTCTTATTTATGGACTCCCTTCTGACTCTACTCTTGGAAGAATTTTACCTTATTTTATTTAATATGTTTTAAATTATTTGTCTTTTTCTCAGTCTGATTTTCTTTGATTTTTGTGATATTTTTCCTTCAGATAAATTTTGTATTTGCCCTTCTAGATGCCCCAATAATACTATAATAGTAACAATTTTATTTGGTGTTTAAGTCTCTGTGAAGTATTAAAAACAAAAAGGCAGAGAGACCATTTTTGTCCATTTGTCTGGTATGCCTTCTCATTGCCTTAGTTTACTGGTCTTCAAATTGGTAGATATGAGTGGTAGTTTCAAGGTCCCTGGGTGTTGTGAACAGTTTGCACTCGATTGCTAACCTAAAGGTTGGTAGTTCGAACCCAACCAGTGGTGCTGTGGAAGAAAGGTCTGATGGTCTGTTTCCATGAAGATTATAACTAAGAAAAGCCTATTGGGTAGTTCTACTCTGTAACCAATGGGGTCACTATGAGTTGGAACCAACTTGTTGGCAATGGGCTAGTGGTATTTTCAGAGCTTTGCCTCTACAGCCTCATCTTCCCCTGGCTATGTCACGTGGACTGATACAGAAGTATTTCCCTCTGTCCAGGGAAAATCTTTTTGTGTCATTAGGTTGTCCCTTCTAGAGTGCTATTGTGTGTTTGTGTTTTAAACAATGTTTGGGTTGCTTCAATTGGTTTTATGAGAGGGAGATGTTATAGTCTGGTTTCCTGTCAATATTCTTTCCCTGGATATTTCCACTGGGTTTGATATGGGCCATCATATTCCCTAGGGGCTGCTGTCTCTAATGCTGATCCTCACCTGGCTGGAATTGTGCATAACCATGTCTATCTCAGCCAAGTGGTGCAAAGCAAACTGCTGTAAATCAAGGGTGGTGAGTATGCTTAAATCAATAGTAATTTTATCATCTGCAAGACTCCCTCAAGGGTTTGAGGTTTTCTCCTGACTCTTGGGACTGAAAGCAAATTTTTATGTGGTAATGATTTGTGGGGTTCCTGGTGGTACAGTGATCACAGCATTGGGCTACTAACCAAAAGTTTGGTGGTTTGAACCCACCAGCCACTCTATGGGAGAAGGATGGGGCAGTTTGCTTATCTAAAGATTTACAGCCTTGGAAACCCTATGGAAGCAGTTCTCTTCTGTCCATTAGGGTTGCTATGAGTTGGAATTAACTTGATGGCAATGGGTGTGGTTGGAATTAGAGATTGTATGAATGAGAGGGTTGGAATAAACACTAGACAAGAGTCCCAATATGAAATTGTAAGAAGAAATAGTGTATATAGTATTTAAGAGCATGCATTTTGGATACAGAAAGAATTAAGTTTATTTTCCCATAAGCTGTCACTTTTTAGCCATATGAACCAGGAGAAACCACAAATTCCTTTTAGATCTCCACTGGACAATGAGGATGATAATTGTACCCTCTTTGATTTGTGTGGACTATATATATAATACTTGTACAGCATTAAAAAAAAAGTTGCCATCAAGTTGACTTCTACTCATGGCAAACCCATGTATGTCTGTAAAACTGCTCGATAGGGTTCAATGGCTGATTTTTTAGAAGTAGATCACCAGGCCTTTCTTCCAAGGGACCTCTGGGTGGGCTTGAGCCTTCAACTTTTCAGTTAGTAGCCAAGCTCATTAACATTTTGCACTACCTGGAGACTCCCTTAGCAAAAGCAAACATTCAGGACCCCCTTTAGTTGAGCTATCCTCCTCTAGTTGGCATTGGGAGCTCCTATATCTGTCTGTCTGTCTATCTATCTATCTATCTATCTATCTATCTATCTATCTATCTATCCACTCCTCACTTATGGACATGGTTAGAGCCCAAAGACCAGAGTGTCATGGAAAATTGGCATTATGTGAGAAGGAGCATGTGGAGGAGGCCCTGGAGCTCAGACTCTAAGAACTGCTGTGCCCTGACACCACTGTGCTCTGGACCCCAAGTTCTTACCATTAGGGCTGGTACTTGAGCAGACTTGGGTCCTGGTGGCAGCTGCACATTTGGCAGCTCCAGGGCTCAGATAACGGATTGGTGCGAGGTTACAGCCTGTACCCATGCTCCCCATAGCCACCCCCTGCCTACCTGCTGCTGCCCCACAGGGCAGAGAGTACCCTGTGGAAATAAGCAATGTGCTGCTGCTCTTCGAGGGCTTGGAATTCAAGGCCAGCTTTCTGGAAACTAATAGCTGCTTGGAAGAGGAGCTCAGCAGCTTGGGCCACAGAGGAGAGGGTGGCTGGCTTCTGCTGTTACCCTTCCTGCTGCAGGAGTTGGTCTTTCCAGGGTGCTTGAGTAGAGAGGGGCAGTGGCAGCAACCTCCTCTGCCTCCTTGTGGGCCCCTCTGGGGTCCCTCAAAATCTGCCTCAGTAGCTGCAATGGTAGCTCTAGAGGCAGGAATGGGATTGTCAAGAGGAGAGCTGGCTGGCTGGTTCAGCCGTGAGCCTGATAAACATTGGTGGCTCTGTGGGCTGGGAGCTGGACATGGGAATGAAACCCAAGTTACTGTGCAAAATATTGGGATAGTAGCTCTCTAATATTGTCTAAATGTGAAATGTCAGATAATGAGATAGTTGATAAGTGAGGAGTGGGTATACTCATTTCATTTCAGTTAATGAATATTAATGGTAATGATGATGCTGAAGATAATTGAAATGAATGGGAGGAGAAGCAAGACATGGTTCTATGCTTGGAGACTGATGTTGCTTTATTTTTCAGGCAGTTTTTTCACTTCCCAATTTCATGGAGTCAGGCATGCCTCCAAATAAGAACAACTTTGAGAGCAAGGAAATTCAACCTCAAATCTCCAATGAGTCAGAACTTCATTGAGAACATGACCCTGTGAAATACAATTGCCCCATCCTGGCTCCAATTGGGAAAAGAGTGGACATTGGCTGCAAGTCTTTCTATCCTAGCTGTCAATCTCATTAGTGTGAGATGGACAGAAGGACACCTTATGTCTTCCCACCAGACCCTGTGTATTGTATCTTCTGTGATGATTACTTCAAAGTTATTTCCAGAGATTTTTCTCATTCTATTTACCCACCTTCCTGCTGTCTTTGAGGTTGATGGAAAGCAGGTAGTGCATTCTCCATTTCACTCATTCTCTCTAATATTCAAGTTCTAACCACCCAGGGGGGAGAAAGATGAATTTTTTTTCCCCCTTTTATTACAGGAAAAAATTTGTGGACATTAGCTGACATCAGCATTGTAAAAACTATCAAATAAAAATCATTCTCATTGAGACAAATTTTCATTGTATTTGAGGTGGGGGGTTGAGCCTTAGAGATTTAATTTACTTATTTTAAAATTTTTATTGTGATTTGGGTGGAAATTTACAAAGCAGATTCATTTTACTCTCAACAGTTCATGGACATTCGGTTTCACAGCCCTGATTACAATCCCCAACCACAAAAAGCTCTCCTCCCATCTCCACCCTGTGACTGGCTCTTCCCTGCACCCTTCTTGTCCATACATTCCAGTCCGTCCAGTTTCCCCTCTGTGCAAATGCTGCCCTTCTAATGTCTCATGGATGATTGATCTCAGGAGTACATCTCCCTAAGATAGGTGGGCTCCGAGATGCAATTCCAATCAGCCGCTGAGATCCACTCATGCACTGCTACATAAGTGACAGTTTAGGTTGGAGACCAAGAGCTATAAAACAAGAACCTTCAAACCTTATGAACAAGAGCCTTAAAATCTGAGAGACTGGACCAAATTAGACTCTGTCACTTATTACCTGTGTGAATTTGGGCAAGTTACTTAATCTCTCTGACCCATCATTCCTCATCTATAAAAAAGGTGTAATAACATTAATGACCTCATCAGCTGTTGTGAGCATTCAATGAAAATAAAGTAAATGGTAAATAGTACCATAACTAATGAATGATGATGGTAGTGGTGGTCTTGCTGCTGCTTTTTGAGTTGATGTGGGACTGTGGTCAGATGATCTGGGAAGGTATAGAAGAAACCCTCACATTTCCATTGTGGCCACCCTATACCCTCCAACAACTTCAGTGGTTACTTTTCAAGATACCAATTTATTAGTAAAACTCCTGATATATTTCAGTGTGTGGTTTATGAATCTCCTGTTAAAGTACTTATATTTCTGATTTATAGGTTAATTTCCCCCTTTTTGTATTAAACTGAATCATCTACCACACTCATAAATTCACATTGATATATTACTCTTAGGTCCTTGTTCACCACATGTGCAAAGATTCCTCCACCCTCCTCTCTACTAATTATTACCTCTCGTATTCAGAATGTGGTTTCAGCACCATTCATTATTACTTGATGCATTCTCTAACCATATTAGCTTCAAGCCCATTGCCATTAAAGCAATTTCAGTTCACGGCAACCCCATGAGTACAGGGTAGAACTGCCCCATAGGATTTTCCTAGCTGTGATATTTACTGACAGAATTTCAAGTCCAATTCAAAAGAGAATGCGGAATGAAGGATATCATTGCTGATGTCAGATGGATCTTGGCTGAAAGCAAAGAATACCAGAAAGGTATTTACCTGCATTTTATTGACTGTGCAAAGGCATTTGACTGTGTGGATGAAAAATTATAGATAACATTGCAAGGAATTGGAATTCCAGAACACTTAATTGTTCTCATGAGTCCATACATTGGCCAGGAGGCTGTCGTTCAAACTTAACAAGGGGATATTGCATGGTTAAAATCAGGAAAGGTATGTGTCAGGTTGTATCTTTCCACCATATTTCTTCAATCCGTGTGCTGATCAAGTAATATGGGAACCTGGACTATATGAAGAAGAATGTGACATCAGGATTGGAGGAAGACTCATTAACAACTTGTGATAGGCAAATGACACAACCTTGCTTGCTGAAAATGAAGACTACTAGAAGCATTTACTGATGAAGATCCAAGACTACCACCTTCAGTATGGATTACATTTCAGCATAAAGAAAACAAAAATCCTCACAACTGGACCAATAAGCAACATCATTGGTCCAAACAGAGAAAAGATTGAATTTGTTAAGGATTTCATTTTACTTGGATCCCAGTCAATGCCTATGGAAACAGCAGTCAATAAATCAAGCAACATATTGCATTGGACAAATCTGCTGCAAAAGACCTCTTTGAGGACTAAGGTGCACCCGACCCAAGCCATGGTCTTTTCAACCATGTCATATGCATGTGAAAGCTGGACAATGATTAAGAGAGACTGAAGAAGACTTGGTGCATTTGAATTATGGTGTTGGCAAAAGAATTTTGAGAATACCATGGACTGCCAGAAGAACAAGCAAATCTGTGTTGGAAGAAGTACAGCTTTTTAGAACGCTCCTTAGAAGCAAGGCTGAAGAGACTTTATCTCACTTACTTTAGACATGTTATCAGGAGGGACCAGTCCTGAGAAAAGGACAGCATGCTTGACAAAGTAGTGGTCAGAGAAAAAGGGAAGACCCTTAAAGAGATGGATTGACACAGTGGCTGCAACGATGGGCTCAAGCAATGATTGTGAGGATGGTGCAGGACTGGGCAGTGTTTCATTCTGTTGTACATGGGGTCGTTGTGAGGCAGAACCCACATGATGACACTTAACAACAGGAACAAGAACAATGTCTATGAAAGCAGATTGCTAGACCTTTCTTCTATGAAACCACTGGCTGGGCTTAAACCACCAACTTTTTGGTTAGCAAACAAATGTTAACTATTTGTATCACCATGGGACCTATTATTTTAGTTCCACTGACTGCTAACCAGAAGGCTGGTGGTTCAAACCCACCAGCCACTCCTCGGATGGAAGATCGGGCAATCTACTTCCATAGTGATACTGCCTCAGAAACCCAAGGAGGGGTTGCTATGAGTTGGGTCTGATTTCGTCAATCAACAAGTTCGGCACACAACAACAACAACAATAACCATACCATTATTCATAGCGTAGTGCCTAAGGCACTTGACTGATAACCAGAAGGCTGGAGGTTCAAAGCCACCAACCACTCCTTGGAAGGAAGGATGGGCAATCTACTTCCATAGTGGTATTGCCTTGGAAACCCAAGGAGGGGTCGCTATAAGTCAATGGCACATAATAACCACAACAACATACCTTTATTCATTTAAGCATTTATTTTAAAAATTCATCGAACAATCATTTAGAGAGTACCTACTACATGCCATGTGCTGTGCTAGGAGCTTGGTGTACAATCGAAAATGAGTCACAGTGTGCCCTTAAGATGCTCATCCAAAAAAACTAACCCCTTTGTTGTCAAATCAACCCCAACTCATAGTGATCATATAAGACAGAGCAGAACTGCCCTATAGGGTTTCCAAGGCTGTAATCAGTATGGAAGCAGACTGTCGTATATTTCTCCCATGGAGTGGCTGGTGAATTTGAACTGTGACCTTTTGGTTACCAGCCACGTGCTTAACCCATGTGGCACCAGGACTCTTTAAGTTGCTCATTGTGGTAGTTAAAGACCCACAGACACACATAATTACAATATGGAGTAGTAACTGGTCTGACAGGAAGAGTAAAGGAATTTGAAACAGAAGGGTTTCTAGCCCAGATTTAGAGGGGAGGTCAGTGACAATTTCTCAGAAGACTTCTTCTAAACTGACACCTTGAAGAGAACTGGGCATTCCACAGCAGCAGCCACAACAACAACAACAAGATTAGCTGTTAAGGCTGCTTATGTACAGCCAAACCCCTCAGCGGATTTTGCTTCTTGGTTTGGATGTTTTGGGCCATGGTTTCATGGGACATTCCAGTTAATTGGCCTACTATCATTTTTAGTGCATCTGTTCTACTTCCTACTTTGTTGCATAGTGCCCAGGGTCTTAAGATTTTACAGGTGGTGATCCTAGGTATAACAATTTGTCTCTATTCACCTGGAACAAAAGACAAAGGAGAGTTAGAATAGGAGGAGGGTATGGAACATGTGGTTAATTATCTCCATGAAACTGCCTTCTATTGCCATAAGACCTGAAGAACTGGATGGTACCTAGCTACCATTACTGAATGTTTTGATCAAAGAGTCAATAAATCAAGCTGAATACTGAATAATATCAAATATTGAATTTTGAATAATATCAAAAGGGTGGAAATGTAGAACAGAATTTCAAATTTTCATGGAATCCAGGCTTTCTAGAGCCATTGAGG